TACCAAAATCTATATCAGTTAGGGTTCACTCGAGGAATAATATATATGTAAAGAATTTACTAAGTAGGCTTACAGTGGCCCCCTGTGAAATCAGGTGTAGAAGAATGCAGAATTATTGCATGCTGTAGAGTCAGAGGATCTAGTTGAAGGTTGAAGGCCTGAAGTTCACTGCAGACACCAGAATGAGTCTATGTCAGAAAGCTGAATGGTCTGCATTGGAAGGCTAAAAAGTCTGTCCTGGAAGCCTGAAGGAACTGCAGATGAGAGTCCAAATGTAATGGCAAAGGTGAGAGCTCCTCTGAAGAAGTAAAAGGGAAGACTTCCTTCTTTTTCCTTTTTATTCCATCCAGGCTCCAAGCATTTTGGATAGTGCTACCCACACCCAGGGTGAGTCTTCCCTCCTCAGTTTGTGGCTTATGTGTCAATCACTGAGACACACTTAGAACTGTGCTCCACTGATCTAGGTGTTTCTTAATCCATTCCGTTGATAACACAGTTAGCTATTACATTAGGTCAGTTCTAGAAATCACCTGATACTTAGGTAATATTTGTTGATAAGACCATTCAAGCATCCTTACTTTTCCCAAGTTTCTTTGCAGGCAACACATTGGAGGTTGTCTGGTTCCAAAATTCATAACATAATATTTTCTATACATACACACACACACACACACACACACACACACACACACACAAATACAATCTGGGATCTTTTGAGATGGTGTGAGAACTTTTTAACATTTTTTCACTTTTATAGTCACCCTATAATTTAACTTTTTAAGGTCTATGAATATATTCATTTACTTTTAAGAATATTGTTTTTCTTTTTAAGTTGTGAGACACATACATTACATAAAATTTACCATTTTGACTAACTTTAAGTGTACAATTCAATGAAATTAAATGCATTCAAAATATTCTGTTGCTTTTTATCCCCCTTGCTCAATAGAACTCCTAATATGCCTGTGACAGAGAAGAATGAAGAATTAGCTAAGACTTTTAGTCAACTTAAAAGACATTTCATATTGACAGAATACTGACTAGGACACACACACAAAAAAATCACATAAGAATTGGTTAGTCTCCAAATACCATCACAAACACTCAGGAAAGTCCCTAACTGATGTGCAACATTGGGTTTCTATTGGAACAAGATTGTCTTATTGCAGGCCAACAAAAACTTAGCATTGGTGCATAATTAATGAACTGGGAAATGGATTAACAATATTTCTCCCTAATTAATGTTTCCCTAATATCCGACATGAAAGCAAAGTTGCATTAATGAGTAGAGTGGGTGTTGTGAGTGTACATGATTGTGTGTTGGTGTTGTGTCTCTCTGCAGGCGTAGTTTAGCACATTTCATTTGCAGCCTCTTTCTCTGCACCTACCTTCCTTCCTCATTACCACTCCTCATCACTCCTTTTGTTCTTTTAAGGCACTGTCATTATGTTTTTTCTACATGGGTGTAGGATTGGGAGATGTGACAAATTGAATCATTCCATTTTTAGATGGATGTCTCAGCACACATGAATTAATCAATATTTCATAATCTAGGTGATGAAAGCACCCTTTTTCTTAGAGGCAAGAGACATTATTCTCTGTGTGTGCAGCTTAACCATCATTAATGCTAATGAAAATCATGCAGGCAAAGCCCCTTTCTTGAGTTGATAACATGCTCCAGTGTACATCATTGTCAATTACACATCAACTCTTAATCATCTTGGGAAGCAGGGGAGGGAAATCCCACTGCTGAGCTAAAGTACATCATGGAGGGATTATTGGCCAGCATTAGGATCTGAACTCAAAATCTTAATTCTTTTTTTTCTTTCAAACTTATTCTACTATTGTTAAGTAAGTCAAATATTCCCCCAGGAAGTAGGCAAATGTGTGTGTGCTTATAAATGGGGTGAGAAGAAGTGGAGATAAAGAAATACTGAATACAAAGAGAAAGAATGGTTCTGCATTCATTCTTTTGGATTACTAAAATCTGTGGCTCATTTTTTCAAAATTGCAATTTGATCTTTGTGATGTACAGTTCTGGCCATAAAATAGCTGCTGTTCAAAGATTCTCGCTTGGCTTAATATTTCTTCATTCAATAGATATTTATGAAATCTATTATATGCCAGCCAGTAAGTGCTACAAAGGTAATTAGGATAAGTTTTCTTATTGACTAGTTGGGGATACTGACACACAAACAGGTACTGTCATCCTTTAGTATCTGTGGAGATTGGGTCTAAGACCCTTGAAGTTATCAAAATCTGCAGATGTGAAAGAACCCCATATTAAATAGTATGTGTGTTCTCCTGTACAATTAAAATCATCTCTCAATTACTTATAATGCCTAAGGCAATGCAAATGTTATGTAAATAGTTATTATACTGCATCATTTAGGGAATAATGACAGTACTAGAGAATAATGTACATGGTCAGTACTATTGTAATTTTTTTCTAAATATTTTTGATCCGTGGTTGGTTGAATCCATAGATGTAGGATACACAGATACGAAAAGCCAGTGATACTTAAAAATGCATGAACAGTTCAGTTTGCTGGGTCTGAAATTCAAGCTCATGAGTGATGCAAGGTGAAGTCGAGAGTTAGGGCAAGGTTGTACAGGAAGCATATGCTCCGCCTTGAAAATTGAATCTTGCTGGGTTTGGTGGCACGTTCCTGTAATCCCAGCACTAAGCAGGTTGAGTTAGGAGGTTTGCAGGGAGGTTGAGACCAGCCTGGTCCACATATTGAGATCAAGGCCAGCCTGAACTACATAGTACAAAAAAGAAAAAAAACATAATCTTGGTCCTTTTTTAAACATTGCTTTTTGAGCATTTCCACATATATATGGCTATTTCTTTTATGCTTCCTAGTTTATTTTTTAAATCATCTCAGTTTTGCATCCTGTTTCATAATGTTTGCACTCTTCTTAAAATAAAAATGTCATTTCCTTTTTCAAAAATTTTCACAAATAACTATTGCTCCAGGAATATGGGCAAAAATTAAAAGATTTTGCTCCAGCAAAAATATCATAAAAGTAGATTTAAAAAACAATGAACCAACTTTGAAAAATACTTGTGACACATGAATGATATAAAAGATTGGAGGGTTGGTATCTCTAATGTACAAAGAGCTCTTCTGAATCAATAAGAAGACAGCATTTTAAGAGAAAAATGAATGTAGTAATTCATCAATGAATATAAATGGCCTATAAAATGTTAAAACTCACCAAAGATTAAATAGAAATAAAAGTACATAGCTATTTTTCATTTTCAGATTAGTAAGGATCACAGATACAAGTACAAAGTATTCATTTCAGTGCCACTAATGACAATCAAAATTGAAAAATGATTTATTCAGTGGGAAATTTATTAAATAAATAATGACATATCTTCTCAATGGAATATTATGCAATCACTAAAAATGATTGTGTAGATCTATATTTATTGAAAGAGCTATCAGTGACCTATTATTAAGTGAAAACGTGCTGAAACATTTTGTTGCACTGTTAACCACACCACTGCATCCTCTGCCTTCTCTCAGAGTATTCTTTACAGGTCCTTTACTTAACTGAGGAGCAGATTAGAAATGAGTCTTTGGAAATAACTGGCAAAAATATTCTTACATGAGCAGATTATTTGGATGCCAGCATTTGCTGGAGGCCTCAAGATGGCATCAAAGAAGATGGAAGATGGAACAAGGTTTTGAGGGACCTGGTACTGAGTTGATCTGCCTTGTGGTGTTCAGAGTAGCTATGAGGAACAGGGATGAAGTATGGATTCTCAGTGGGCTGCAGAACTTGGTGAGGGGCATTCTCATCTATTCTGATTCTTTCAAGTCCAGGGAAGGAGGTTGGATAGTGGCAGCAGTGGTCAGTGTGGCCAAGCCCTGAACTAGAACTGCTGACACATTCATTTTCTGTATTTGCAATTTTGCTTTGCAAACAAGTAAACAAGCAGACCAAAAGCCAGGCTACTCAGATGCAGGCATTAATGCTGTCTGTGTAAATGTAAACATTAAACATAACTGCAATGGTCAAGAAATTAAAGATTGATGACAAGTTAAATTAAAGATTGATATCTTCAATTGAAGACAAGGATGTGTCTGCTTCCTGAATTGCATTCTCTGGGGCCACCATTCCCAGACAAATCTCTGCTTTTCTTGTCATCATTGAGATCTTTGCTGTCTGAGCCTGCCTCATCCCAGCCTTCAAGAGCCAGGGCATTTCTTAGTATGCACCGAGCTCGTGCCAAACTATTGTTTCACCTATTATTGTCTGAAAAGACAACGTGTACTAGAAACGTAAAACAGGAAATGTCCATTTGACCTTATTATGGTAGAAGAAATTTTCCAGAGTCCATATGCTGTTGTAATTATTTTAAGATTTTTTTCCTTTAAAGTAGTAAGATTGTTGGAACAATTTTTTCAGCTGTCACTGGCTGTCACATGTTGCTTATTATTTTTTAGAGTTATAGAACACTGCAATTGGCACCGTAGAGTTTTATATTATTTTCTAACTAGGTTTTAGAGAGTTCTTTTTATTTGCTTGACTGGTTTTGTGTATGAAGCATATGTAATATATATATGTGTGTGTGTGTGTGTGTGTGTGTATATATATATATAATATATATATACACACACACATATATTTAATTTCCTTGGAGGGTCCTTATTTTACATAGAATTTTTCCCCATCCTCAAAGGCTTAGATCATATGCCTTATTTCCTTCTAGTGCTCTACTTCATGCAATTTTCTTTAACAGAAGCAAACAACTTCAATGTATGCTGGCTCCTATTTCAATGTTCTTGCAGTACTTACAGTGAGCATTTTTTAGCATAGCTAATCTCTTTTGGTCCTGTCCTCACCAGCATCAATACAATGCTTTGAGATGAAGGGAAATTCTGTTCTTACTAAAGGGGTAAGGATTAAAACTTTAACTGGGTCTAGGAGGAGGTGGTAGGAGGGGGAAAAAACCCTCACAAATCAGGTGTTTTCTTTTTCTCTAGATGAAGTGAAAAGGAATCAGCTATACTTCATGAAAGAAAGGAAAATGTGCTTTTCCCCAACTGCTCCACATCGCTTTGGTTCAGGATGAAGCAGAGCAACCAGTCATTTTGTCCTCTAGCATGCAGTATTTAAGTGTAATATGTGATCCATATAAACATAAAGAAGTAGATGTTCATGCTTCTTTTAGGTATGATCCCATATTTTTATCCTGTTTTGTTTATTGCTAGTAGTTTCATATTCTTGTTTTGTATTTGTTTGAATCCATGATCTTTTTCATCACATACCTTATGTATCTGATAGTCTCCATTTCATTCCATTTTTCAATTGTCTTTTTTCTCTAGACAGTTTTATGGAATCCTAGAAATTCTTGTATCCAGTACAATGTTTATCATTTATAGTAAAATGCTATCACTTAGAGTATTATTTCTAATGTCAATTTGAATTTCTTTACTCGAGCACACTCTGTACAGAGTGAATTCTTAAGTGTAGCTATACAAAATGAATGATTGGTGTTCAGCCAAGCTTATGTCTTTCCACGACCAAAAATAATCAGGTGAAAAGGGAAGAATTCAATTAGTCTATTGTTTTGTCTGCCTGGCCCCAAACAACTTACATGTACAATTTAGGATTTTTTTCTTCATTTAATTCAGTGTGTATACATTCATGTATATTGATGGCTGATTTTTATTATGTAGCTAAATAGTAAAAAAGTTTTGAATGAGAAACAGTTTTGGTTTTTAAAAAAGAGCCAGTTTAGCAGCAAGTGAGGTCAGTGAGCCTCTTGTTCTAGGAAGTGGGGAGATGGGGGGACACTGGAAGAAGAGGAAGTCCTATGTCAGAGGGCTCAGCACACGTTTTCCTGTAGCACCTCAGCTATACTTACATGTAATCTGTTCTTTTAACCAATCATAATATTTGCATTTTACCTTTTCTCACAACAGATTATGAAACTGAGAGTATAAATATGACAAATCCTTGTTTTTCAGGGCTCCTCTCTCCAACTTCCACTGTAAGTTTGAATTTCATCATTTTCAAAGACTTCAGAAACCATTAGATTATTGGTTTTAAAAAAAAAACATACTAGTTTCAAAAGCTACTATCCATTTGCCAGAAGAGAGATGTTGAGTCATCCAAACGTTCTCCATTTAGAAAAAAATAATTGCAGAGCTCTTGCCCTTTTTTGTGGACCTGAGCATCCACATAGGGCAGCACAACACATTCTTGGCCCTCAGTAGATAATGAAATGGTGCTCATTTCATACAGTATATGTTGCATTCCATGCATAATACAATGTATTTCTGTGCCTCAGTTTGAAATTTTGTATTCAAAATATAAAGGCACTTCATTTTTCTTCTCCTCCACCTATATTTCATTTTTGCACTGAAACACTTCCTGGATTTATAAAACATTGAGAAACGATATTAAAGAAGAAAGAATTAAAAATCAAAGACAAAATTTACTTAATATTATCTTCTGTTAGACATAACCAGGAAAGCAGGCTCTATCAAAGACCTAGAGTTAATCATCAGTTTCTCACTGCATTTTGATTTATCACTAAATGCAGTGGGTAGAAGAATATTAAACAGTAAATATTTAAAGATTTTTGTGTTGATAAATTCTGACCTTAAAGTTTTGACATTAAGATGTGATTATCATATGACACGGCAATGAGTTATTTTCTATCATAGCACATATGAAAAATATGAAGCCAGAAGATATAACTGTCTTACCTAGATCTTAATGAAAGTCCACTTAATATTTTAATTTTTTCTTCCTTAAGTATTAGACCAAGCTGCAACAGAATTCTATCTCAGACTTTCAGGACAGAAGCAGTCATGACACTCATGTTTATCCCCCATGACCGGATGGAGTTCCATCAAAATTCTGTTTGATGTTTACTTTGTCTTATCCCAGTGTGCACTGGACAGAGTGATGAGGAATTCAATCGCTAAGTCTGAGGGTGAATTTTAAAAATTAGTCAAAATTAGATGCAGAGTGTAGAAGGGAATAGGTCTGTCCCATACAACATAAATTCCCTTCTGCTGATTGATAAATAGAACAGCTTTTCATGTACACGAACCAGGTAAGAAAGCAGTGCATTCCCTTTCCTTATATTTGGCTTACTGGGCTTGTAGAGAGACCTGAGTTCTTTTGTTTTATAAATGTTCATGGAGCTAAATTAATTTCTCATAGATGTTGTTATTTGAAGTTAGCAACTTTGCTAACACTGTTTTATCAAATAATTTTCTGTTGAGAAGGGCATCAGGGGCAGTAATCTTCGATGAGTTGTCTGAAAGCTGCAACCCTGACCAGCCCTGTTGAGCTCTTGCCTGCCAGTGATTAGACACTTTGACCAACAGGGAGGGTGGGTCCCTGCTAGCCTTCTTCATTCTCTCTCCTAAATCAGTATTTAACCTCTGGAAAGAGTCGCTCTGATGTGGCATTCACTGCAATGTTTTAACAGGAAATGTAGCATAGTGGTGAAGGGTAAAGACGAAGAGTCAAGCAGACCAAATTCAAAGTCTTGCTTCTACCCTTAGCACTCACAGGACCTTGGAGAATATACTAAACTCTTCAGCCATCAGTTTTCTCATCTGTAGACTACATACTGGAAGAAATTGGTCTGTGTGTGGTACTGGGTATTGACCCCAGGGGTTTCACACTCTTTGTTTTTGTTTTTGGTACTGGGGATTGAACCCAGGGATGCTTTACTACTGAGCTACATCTCAAGCCCTTTGTACATTTTTATTTTGAGATAAGTTCTCATTAAGTTGCTCAGGCTGGCCTTGAACTTATGAAAGGTATTCAATAAAAAGTTATTATTATAATTTTAAAACTCTCTAAATATTTAACAACCATATAGAAAGATCATGGCCAATCCATAAAATCTGATGGCTTTTCTCTCCCTTTCTCACTCCTGAACCCATTCCTGTAGGGCAGCCCATCCTCCACTGATACCATGTTTGACAAGTCACTAAAGACATTCACATTGATAAATGCTGTGGTCATTACTCAATCCTCATCTGAGTTAAGCAATCAGCAGCATTTGATACAATTAATATTGGATTCCAGTGCTTGTTAATCTCTGAATATTGGAGTGCACTACGGCACCATCTTCTGGCTTCTCTGTCCGTATCACTTTGTGGGCAATCTCAGCCTGTTAGGATCTTTACACTTATGTGTGTGCTACTGATCCCTCAAATATATATATATTTCTAGTCCATATCTTCCTAATAAACACCAAACTTGTGTATTCAACTGCTTGCTTGAGTTCTACCTGACTGTCTTGGATACATCTCAAACTCAGCATGTCAAAAATGGAACTTTTTGATCTTTCTACAAATCTGTTGCCCCCGCAGTGTTTCACACTTCAATAAATGACATCTCCATCATTTAATTGCTCAGCTGAGAACTTCAGAGTCATCCTTTCCTACTCTTCTTTACTTACATTCATATCCAAACCATCAAGAAATCATGTGGGCTCAACCTTCAAAATCTATCCCCACATCGACCCTCAACCCTTTCTGCTCTGCCGCTCTTGCCCTCCCCTGGATTTTTTGATTCTTAGAAATTCCTAACCATTCTTCCTGCTTCCACCATTGCACTTACAAACTGCTATTTTTAAACAGCAGCTTCCATGATTCAAATATAACGTGAGATCATGTCATGTCACTTTCCTGCTCAACCCCCACCACAACCCTGCAACAGGGCTTCTAACCTCACTTAAGAGTAGAAGCACACAGGCCCTGTACAACTTGACCTGTCTCTTTGTCCTCTGCTCCTCCTTTACTCTGCTCTGGCCACTCTGCCCTCCTTGCTTTCCATTATCATGCTACATAGAATCTCCTCCTGGGGCTTTTGCACTTGTTTTCCTTCTTGGAAGACTCATCTCATGGAGATCTACTTCCCTCTCCTTGAAGTCCTTGTTGTATGCCACTTTCTTCATGAGGGTTTTTGAACCACCCTATTCACTCTTACAGTTTCACCCTGCTTTATGCCTTGATTCCCTGCTTGCTGTATTTTTCTTCATAGTACTTACTACCACCATTTGACTTATATTTTGTGATTTTATTCTTTTCTATCTTCTCTACTGATAAGAGAAGATAATGTCCTTTTCCCCCACTGTTGTATATATCCTGTGGCTACGCCTCATATTTAGTAGACAATAAATATATGTCTGAATGAATAAATAAATGAATGAGTGGCATTTACTACCACATCTAGTGTCAGAATATGAAAGCACATTGCAGAGAAATAGGAATCCAGATTCTAATTTTGATGAGGCCTCCTATGAACAGGATTATGTGGAGAAGATATTTTGCCTCTCTGAGCCTCGCTTTCCTGACTTTTGAAACCTACTGAGCAGTAATAGTTTTCAAATATAGGCTATTTTAGGAAGTGCAATCCTGTGCTTGCACAAAGAGGGAATCCAATTCTTCCTTACCTCCCACATGCCCACAACCAGTGGTTTATGTAAACATTACCCCAGGAAAATGACATTCTGTGTGAACAGATTTTTTAAAAAGTTGTCATTGAAATAAATACCAAGTTAAGCCAACATCTTATCTAGAGATGAGAAACAATCCAGAGAGTTTAGCAGAATTAGGTTCTGCTATCTTTTAAGGGCACTGAGAAGGAAATAGGAAAAGTACATTGCATCCTTCCTTGGATCTCTGCCCTCTTATTTGAGTTCAAGTTAAAGAATAAGAAATGACACAGACTTTGTATTTTTTATGTTTAACCAAGTTCCTCTGGTTTGCATAATCATAATATAATTTAAATGAACACTTTGAAGTTTTTTCAGTGTTTTAACTTTGTGTCAGCTAGGAAGCAATGAATAGCTAATGTTCTATTTTGCAGTATGAAAGCTAAGTAGTGCCCTAAAGATTTTATATATTTAAAAAATTGCTTACATTCAATAAAATAATAAGACTTTATACTAAAAGCATATTTGTTCAAGTTTTCTTGACTTAATTTTCTAGTTAAAAACTTCACGATTTATATATATGCTGGTCACTTATCCAATAGATTCTCAATAAATACTTTTGATTGGTTAACATATAACTTGGTCGTTTGCTGAATTTACATTTACTGAGTGGGGAAGTACTTTGAAAAACAGTCAAACAGTTCATGCCATAAGATTAGAGAACATAATAAAATAACGAGCAAAACAAATTTTAAGTGGCTATTTACATACAAGAATTTAACATGTTGAGATAGCCTGAGCCCTGATAAGGGGATCCTAGTTCTAGATCTGGTTAGCATGCATGTCAGTTCCATTTTACTTTCTGGTTTCTTTGCATTATATAATTATTGTCTCCTTTCATCATTGTTGCATACTCTATGCCTATGCCTGACATTGAATAGGCACTCAGTAAATACGTGCTTGAATGAATGAATGAATAAATAAATGACTTGCTACCACATATTGTATCAGAATACACACATACACACGCATAGAAAGTGAGCAAAGCATATACAAACACAGGCATAGTATGTGAAGAGGGAGATGTGTATAGATATAATTTTGTTTATTTTTTCCAATGGGGAGCTCTTGAAGGTTTTCAGGCCTTGGAGTCAGGTAACCCTCTGTATAGTTGAATAAAATGTAGTATGGCTGAAGTTAGAGAGTGACCAATTGAATGGTATCAGAAAATATTAAAAGCCTTGAACTATAGCATAGACATACAAGAAAAAGTTGAGTGCTTAAATGAAAACACTACTATGTAATGTGCTGTGTACAATTTTTTAAAAAATTCTATCAGTAAGAGAATTAAATCAGCCAGATAAGGTTTTTATTTTTAAGTTTGTAGCAACAGTTTAAGTATCTGACAATTTGGAATACAACAGTAACGGGAAAAGCTGAAAGGTAGTCTCAAATTTCACCATTGGGCATTTGTCCCTCAATGCCACTAACAGGTTCCCAAAGCAATAACGCAACGTGATCTTTTTATTTTATCGACATGTATGTGCCAACTTCTACTGTCTCTTCACAAAATCTGCTCCCTGCCAGTCTGGGTTGGTTCTCAGATCTGTACATCCACACGGCACTCTTTTCTCACATCTGTCCAAGAGTATGTATGTGTGATACTAGTACAAGTCTACTCTCTTCTCTGCAGATCAAAAATCCAAAACCTCTGAAAATTAAAAGTTTATTTCATGATTTATGCTAAACTTGTTCAGCAACCAATGTGCCCTAAGGTGACTCATGCCTTGCTAGCAGATGGGCCCCACCAGATGCTGAGCTTGCTGGAGACAATGTGATTCCACATACTTACCTGGAGGCTAGTGTGTCTCAACAAATTTTAAAACATGAACCAAATAGAAAAGTTTTTCTATTGATTTAACATTTAAACTTACCAGCTACCTTCTATTCATATTCTTGAAATGTCACTACTTTGGGAAACAAGAGTTAGGGCTAATGAGTCCCCTTTAAAATTTTCTTTTTAAACTGAAAACATAAATATTTGGTCAGATTGAAAACTCAGCAATAGAACCAAGAATAATATCATGTTTCCTGACTTTGGGATTAGTATTTCCTTACCCAGATAAGATGAATATTATGAATGCCAGATAGCTCACAGACCAAAAGAAACAACTTTCTAAAATTGGTCAAAATTTTACTAGGAAAAATGTTGGAAAAACTATCATAATGTTATCTCACCCCTTTGCCTGAAAACTTAAAGAGTCTTCCATTGGACAAAGAAAATATGTATCTATAGCCAATTAGCTGTATATTTACTTCCGTAAACATACACTCCTGGGAGATCAGAAATAAAATTGTAGGCCAATAGCCCAGGGATGAAAAAGCAGTTTGCACACTAACTTGGGTAGGAGCACAGCAAGGAAGCATCTTTACATGTAAATGTATCTTAAATATTTAATAGTTTCTCTAATTCTTTCATTGTTTCTTCATGTGTGCTTTCCACTGGCTCAAATACACAAAGGTTATGCATATTGTACATGACCTTGTAGCTTTTTCTAAATTTAGAGGAAATTTTTAGGGTGTGAAATTCTGCTTTGTAAAACACACTTTGAAGATATTAATAATTAGCAAACAATGTTTTTTATAAAGTATTCATAGCCTAAATTAAATGATGTAGCACTATTTTTTGAATTTATAAATACCAGAACGCAAGCACTGTTACACAGACTAAACTTATGATGTAATGTAGCATTTATTGCTTTACCTTGCATTATTAATTCAAAATTTTAGAACCAGGTGTAGTAGCACAAACCTGTGATCCCAGCACACAGGAGGCTGAGGCTGGAGGATCACTGTGAGTTCTAGGCCAGCCCAGGCTACATGGTGAGTTCAATGCCAGCCTGAGCCACATAGTGAGACCCTATCTTAAATATTGATGATAATCATAATTATTCAAATTTAAAAAATATTTGCTGGGGCAAAAAAGATATAATATTTTTCTTTGTATTATCCAATTTACTCTCCCTGATGCTGACAAAGATGTCATTTTATTTCATTTCATAAATTTTCTTCTGATGAAAATTTATTTCACTGTTTTTACCTATTTGCAAGTTATTAATAATTGTCTTATGTACCAAAACAATAACTTTCTCAATTATAATCATTTTAGAATTGATATTATTAAAATAATAAATATATGAGGTATGATGAGACTATATAGAAATGTATACATTTAAAAATGTATTGCAGTTATAGACACATTGCCAAGATACCTCCTCAAAATACTCCTCCTTACTTTGAACACGCTTATTCCATCATTCTTCCCATTTTCTGAAGCAGTTCTGGAAGTCCTCTTGCATGAGTGTCTTTATAGGGATGATAAAAAATATGGTGAATATTCTTCTGAGTGTCATCCAACAACAGAAAAGCAAGCTCACTATGACATTATGATGTGTTCTTGTCTAGCTTATTCACTGGTACCATGCAGCTTCTGGCTCTTTGCAAAGTCAAATTTACCATGAAAGATAAAAGTTTTGAATCAATTCAGCACACCTAGGCAGCCATGACAGTGCAACTACACTCACAAAAGAGAACATCTAGAATTGCTTCAAAAAGTGGCAAAAATGATAGGTTAAGTGTGTTTAAAGCAAGGGGCAGTTTTTTGAGGGGGATTAATGGCTATGTGTAACAAATTTTAAAATTTAAACATTTATCATATTTTTAGATCACACTGTACATTTATACTTCAAATGGCATTAAAGTAGGCATTAATCAGCAAGGACATCCAGGAAAATTAATCTGGTAAAAGTAAATGAAATAGACTGGAAGAAAATAGACTTAAGGCAAAGAATTGGCTACGTCTCTTGCCTTTATATAAACAAGAGTTAATGAGATCCTCAACTAAGAAAGGACAGAAGAAAATGTAGTTGCAAGATGTAATAGGAGGAAGAATAAACAACTGGTTGGCTATAAAAACAAAGGAAATTATCAAAGATTATTCTACATAGAGGCTAATGTAGGCATGTGATAAAGTTGCTGAGATATTAAAGGAGCATATCGAGAAGAATGAGAACAACATTTTTTTGTGCCTAGTAAAATAAGTAGAGATATTATATTATACTATGTGTTATATATATGCTACATATGTAATATGTGTATTATATTATTCAGTTCAATATATGCTTTACATAGCATATTAAATATAGCATATTGCATATATTACATAGCATATATGCTTTATAGGCATGGTGGTGCATGCCTGTAATCTCAACATTTGAAAAGCTGAGACAGGAAGGTCACAAGTTGGAGGCCAGCCTGGCCTATGTAGTGAGATCCTGTCTCAAATAAATAAATATATGTAATACAAATATGATATATATGAATTTAGTTTCATTTGGAATGACAAGAGTAGTGCTAAATTTTATGGTCTGACGAAGGAATTAAGAAGTATTACAAGGGCTGGGGATTTAGCTCAGTGGTTCCACTGCGTGTCTCACAAGCACACGGTCCCAAGTTCGAGCCCCGGTACAAAAAAAAAGGAAGTACTACATAGATCACCAGATGTTTATTACATGTTCATATTGTTTACTGCTGTGTGTAACATACCATAACAAAACTTAGCTTAAGACAGTAATTTATTCTTATATTTCATTTTTCTAGGGATTGGCTGAGCTGGCCACTGTCCAGCTTGACTCCTTCAAATGGTTGCAGGAAGATGACAGCTGAGGCCAGGGTCATGAGAAAGCTTCTCTACCCACATGTCCGGCTGCTGGGCTGGGAGAGTTAGAACAGCTGGGCCAAGCAGGAACCATCTCTTTCTTCTGTCCACGTAGCCAAGTCGCCTGGCCTCCACATGCCAGCAGCACACTTGCAAATCTGCTACTGTATGTGGTTCTGACTCTGTAATTACCAATTCAACAAGCATGAAACCTTTGAATGCTGAATTGCCTTTCCCTTACTTAATTTTCATTTCTTGTAATTTTCTCTTTTCGTTCAGTTTTGAGAAGTATTCTTATAACTTTCTTAATATACTCTTTCTTTGAATTGACATTTATAAAAAAGATTATCACACAAGCTGTTATTTTATTTGACAAAGCAAATAATTTCTACATTTTACAATGTTTTAGAAACTTTGACTTTGCTGTACACAGAGACAGAATGGACTGATGCTTTGAGATTTTTCCATGACTAGAAAGGTATGGAAAGTCTTACCGATTTATATTGTGTTCTGACTTCCTGAGAAGTTTTCCTAATGCTACTCCATTTTAGTCATAATGTGAAACAAAATTTGCTTGTTTGTTGTTGCTTCTTTTTAGTTAAAATTCAGTCTTGAACTTTGTATTTGTTTTCTTCTCTGTTTTTTAAACTTAATTTCTGTGGAATTTTACAATAGCAGCAGTTTTATTTTTTTAAATTTCTCCTGTTGAGGGTATGATTCTGAAACATTTAAGAAAAAAAACAATGGTCAAAATTATTTATAAAAATAACTTGAATATTTAACATATATTTATTGTTCTATGACTATATTTATTGCCTGTATTACATAACTTAATTTTATTGCCTATCATCATTTACTCTAACTACTTGGTAAGAGTTATGTCTTTTGCAATAACTGTGCTCACTTTTTTGGAACGATAAATGTATATTGCATGTAGTGGTGCATGCTTGTATCCCAGCAATTGGGAAGGCTGAAGCAGGAGGATTGCAAATTGCAGTCTAGTCTGGACTGTTAAGTAACTTAGCTAGACCCTATCTCAAAAAAAAATTTTTTTTGCAGTACCAGGGATCGAACTCAGGACCTTGCACTTGCCAGATAAGCTCAGTGCTACTGAGCTAAATTCCCAGCTCAAATATTTTAAAAGGGCTGGGAATATAGCTCAGTGTGAAGGCCCTGTGTTCAATTCCAGTACCTAAAATAATAATAATAATAAAGAAGGAAGCATATATATAGTTCTTTTGCATTCCTAAAGCTTATACCCTTGTTCTAAACATGTTATATGTAGATAAAAGCTCACTTGATAAATTGGTCTTTAGGTGGTATTCTTTTAATTTAATTCTTATATTTTGGGTCTTACTAGTCTTCAAACTTTAGAAATGTTATAAATTTTCTTATGGCCTAATTTAGTCTTAAGTAGCATTGCTGGTTATTTGTGTATAAGGTCTTTCTAATCTGAAATTTTCCTTTAAAAATTAGAACAGAGCTGGAGAAATTTAGTCTTTCTGAGAACCTCCCTCATCCGGTTTTTCATGACTTTTTGTTAAATCATAATAGAGGGCAAGAAGATGGCTGTGGAAACTGACTTCCGCCTACCTCAATCCTGGCCTTGCTACTTATGAACTGTACAGATTCATGGGGAGCCTTTCTGTGCCTCTAATTCCTCAATAGCAAAAGGGGGCTTAGAATAAGAGAAACTACCTGTTGTCTTTGTGAGGGTTAAATGAGCTTGTCCATGAAGACTGGCAGAATAGTCCCTACTACCTGATAATTGAGCAATAGAAGTTAACTGTTATTATTGCTGGACCGTTTATTTACATCTAATAGTCTTCATATTTTTTGCTAATTGTACTGTTTTCTTAATGATGTTACTGAATGCCTGTTGATACAATCATATTTTGAGAACTGTGTAGGCAGGTAGCTTTCATTAACAAGCTTGGGAGTTGAAACATTCATTTCTCCAACATCAGAATTTGATCTTTCCATTCTTTCTTTAGTAAATATTTTATGTGTCAAAATACAAATCTGAATAACTACACAGTCCATAGCTTTGGTGATCTTTTAGAGAGCCAGAAACACAAGAAAAGTCTCTCAGGAGCAGGTCATAATATGGTATGGAATGTGCTATTATATTCATTTGATCAATAATCTCACTGAGCAGCCAGCTACCTGGGAAAGTCAAGAAAGCTTTGAAGTGATTGACTTACATGAGCTGAGTCTTAAGGTTGATGAGGAATATGTTAAGCTGAAAAAATCATACCAGACAGAAGCCAGCACACGAAAAGGCATCATAGAATCATGGAATGCACCAGAAATCCGAAGACTTGTGAGTCTAGGCCTACTGGAGTTTGTAGCCCCCCACAGGAGGACAGGTAAAGAAGCCCAGCATGGACAATTTAGAGACTTAGAGTGGGACTGTCTCAAAATAAAAAAGGGCCAGGAATATAACACAGTGCAAAGGCCCTTAACTCAATCCCCAGTAGTGAAAAATGTAAAAAGTTACCTGCAAGGGCCGTGTGGGAGATGGATTGGAAGAGATCAATAGATAAGAGGAAGACTGGAATCAGGGAAGAGGCCAGAGCAATGACCTCAAGGGTATGGACTTGAACGTAGTGTTGGGAGTGGAGGAAAAGGTATGATTTAGAAAATGCTGCTCTTCTGGGATAAAATCTACTAAAGAGTGTAGCTGAGAGAGAGAGAGAGAGAGAGAGAGAGAGAGAGGGAGAGAGAGACTGATACTGAGGTTTTTAGCTCAGGACATTTGAAATATCTTCTGTTTTAGGCCCCATGTTGGTGGTGTGGATGACACATTTTCATCTTTGAGGTTCTCAAAATCCACCAGGGAGGTAGATACTCACATGAATAGGCACAGTATAAAGAACCATATTCTATGTGGAATTTTTGTATCAGTATCTCCCCTTCTGAGGGGAGGGATTGAACGTAAGAGTGCTTTTGTGTCTAAGCTACATCCTCAAGCCTTTTTATTTTTTATTTTGAGACAGGGTCTCACTTTGTTTCCCAAGCAGGACTTGAATTTACAATCCTCCTGCCTCAGCCTCCCTCAGTGGTGAGATTATAGGCGTGTACACCATACCCAGCTCAGTATCAACTTTTATATCTTTCCAATGAGAGGAATAGTTTACTGAGAACACTCGACTCAACTGTTGTTAAATTACATAAGCACTATCAGATCCCAGTATTTGATCTGATTAATATTAGTCACTGGGTGTTCTCTGGACTGAATTTCTTGGAAAATTCAGTCTTTTATTCCTCATTTGTAACAGCTCAAATATATATGAGTATACCCATACAGTTTTGAAGTTCAGACATAATTAGAGGCATTTCATTAAGATTTAAAATAACACTTTTATTCCTTGCATGTAATGGCTTATAATCACAAATCTCAACAGACACCAGTTCTTCAAATTATATGAAACTGACAAGAAGTGAAAAGAACCGTTAAGCATAATGAGAAAGAAAAAGCTAAGTTACAATGAAATATACAGAAATGAGACATTTCCAGAGAAGTAGTCAATTCTTGTGATTATTGATTTTAGTCCTTCTAGACTAATAACATTTTCTGTTAATTGTGCCTTTTGAAACTTTCGGAGGCAGTGTTGTTTATGTCACTCTGACATCCATCCTGAGTATGTATGTTAAGTAGTTTGAGGTTAACCCTTTGAGGCTGTCAAGTCATTTCAGTTTCTTCTTATTCTTTTGCCTGACACCCAGAAAAGTAAATCATTTTCTCTAACTCTGACTTCTTTTCTATTCAGTTACTGGTCCTCTTAACACCATATTCTCTTAATCTTTCAGTCTCAAAGAGTCCCTGCTTGGATTTTATTTAAGTTACACATCAAAGCTTCAATTCATTTTGGAAAACTTTTTTTTAAAGCATATAATAGTGGAGGAGTTAAAATGAGAAGAGAGGTCAGAAGTTAACAGGAAATGGGTAAACTGTTTAAGTCAGGAAGAAGGTGGGGGGAAAGAACAACAGTAAAAGGAGACAAAGGAAGAAGTAGGGCCCCACAGAACTAATGAAGACATAGAAGTGAGGTGTTCCATGTGTGTATTTCTTTAAGAAGATGACAGAGTTTGAGAATACATGCTGTGAAAGACCGTGTGTAAGTGACTGGCAGGATATTGCCTGGCAGCCCATCAAGAAAGCGAGGTGACACACACATATAATCCCAGCCCTTTTGGAGGGAAGGCAGGAGGAGTTCAAGCCCAGCCCCGGGCAGCTTAGTGAGACCCTGACTTTAAATAAATAAATAAATGAATAGATAAATAAATAAATAAATAGATAGATAGATAAATAGGCTGGGGATGTGCCATAGTGCGAAGGCCCTGGAAGGAAGGGAAAGGAAGGGGAGAAAAAGAAAACTAAGAGTGCAAGAAAGCAGGGGAGGAGAGTTATTTATTTTTAAAAGGGATAACCACTAAAGACTAGGATGGATTTTTGGTATAACCAGAAATACTTTATAAAGTTGGATACTTGAAGGGGTGACAGAGGGGCTTTCAAAAATGTTGTTTCTTTTTTTTTTTTTTTTTCCAAAAATGTTGTTTCTTAACCTGGTTGATTGTCAAGTGTTCATTTTGGGGTAAGTCATTGAGTAATAGACTAATTTTGGACATTTTTCTATATGAGTATTATATTTCAGCTTAAAATAAAAGGATAACAAAGAATAAATGTTTAGCTTCTAGCTTATCAAACTCTTACAGAGCTTTTTGAGCATATTGCAAATCATCCAAACATTTATTGAGTCTCTGAATGTGCAAGATACAAAAGATAAAGAAGATCAGCTTCCACAAGACTCACAGTCTAATGGAGAAGTGTGATGCAGGAGGGCTAGAAAAACAGTCCAGGTGCACACACAGTGTCATGGTGAAAATGGTAAATCAGAAGTAGCAAGGGAAAGAAAGGGAAGGCTTTGTTCAAGAGGTCATTTCTGAGACAGGGAGTCAGAATTTCCTAATGTACAAAAGTACTTCCCATATAGCCAAAAGTGTGTTACACACACACACACACACACACACACACCACTACAGCAACTTGTAAGCTAAGAGTAGATCTGTAGTGTAGAGTTATAAATTCCTAGGTTGTGTGAGTGGAGAGTACAGGAGCAGGGCTTCCTTAAAACCTCAGAAAATCCCAAGTAACACGACTATGCAGTCTTCCATCTCCCATCTATAAAAATAAAGACCAATTCAATTGCAAATTAAAAACCAGTGCTGTTGGGGGAGGGAAAGTAAAAAGAATTAAGATGCTTTATGTACATGTACCAACTTCCCATGATGAATGTTATTATGTACTGAAAACATGTACTAATAAAATTAAAAATCAAAATAACCCACCAAATATAGCTTAAACAAACAAAACAATGCTAAACTATAGTGTATGTAGAAAAATCAGACACTATTCTAATTTTTCTAAGATTATTATTCTGATCATTTTAATAGATGACATAAAAATATTTTCTTAACCCCCCCCTCCACCTTTTCAGTATTGGAGATTGAACCCACAGCTTTCTCACTGAACTCTAATTCTGGCCTTTTTTATTTTGAGACAGGGTCTAAGTTGCAAAATTGCTCAGGCTGGACATGAACTTGGCCTTCTAGTGTTGGGATTACAAGCATAAGTCCCATATCTGGCTACATCCTTCTCTTTTTAGGGTATATTAAACACTGTAGGTAAAGCTCAAATAAT